GTCGGATTTTTTTTTATAGCTAATGGAAAAACTAATTTAATGAGAATTTCTAAAACTGAAATTGATCTAATGACGGGGAACTGAAAATTTGAATCTAAACTGCGAGAACAATCTAATCTTTGATTGATCGGGTGTCGTGCCCCCTCTCCTCGGGGCTCGGTGGTGGTGTGCTGCAGAAGTGGTGTGACCGCTCTAATACCATGTAGAAATTGTAGGATGGATGAATATTATGTTGTTGTGATCTAACCCTCGTGAGGGATTATATAGAGTACATGGTGGGGTAGAAACTTGGAGTATAAGACAAGACATTACTAATTCTATCTCTATCTCAAACGCATTATACTTCTAACGCTGATGTCTCTGACGCCGACCTTAGAAACGACGGCTTCTAGCTGGAAAATGAGACAAAGGTACATCAGTCGCTCGACAGCGTACGCAGCAGGATATTATGATAGTTTAGGTTCAAAATAAACAGTTATATGCTTGTGCTGCTCTGATTTGGCTGAACATCATACATTCGGTTCAGCGAACTTATTATTGTGATTTAGCTTTTCTTGTTTCATCATGCAGGTAAATTTAACAAATGTCAACTTGGAGGGGGCACTTGTGACAGGGAACACTCAATATATTTGGATTAAAGCCATGAGATCAATGTCGATCAGAGTCACAAACCATCTTAAAACCTCTTGTGTTCATACAAAAAACCATATAGTCATGTCATTATAATGTACAAAAAGGAAAATTGAACAGCTTTGATCCAATCAAATTCCATGGACATGATTGCAGTAGATTGAAGGTTCTTGTACTATTGCATCGTCAAGTCTTGTCGTTCTCATTACTTTTTCCTCTTCGGCTTTTACTGATGTTCTACTATGGACGATCAACGGGACTACATATGCATATTTGCTGATGAATGAGAAGAAACTTAGTGTCAATATGCAGGAATTTATCATCCGCTGGCTTCATCTCTTGTTCTCCATCTGTATTTCTCTATTGCGACATGGTTATTAGTTTTTTTTTTGCAATTGTTGTGCGCCGGGGTAAATACGACTACCAGAAATGCCACATAGGAAACTCTCTTCTGCAAATGTTGAACAAGAATAAATGAGAATGGAGAGACTAGACAGTTCAAATGTTAATCTAATTCTTGAATAGTATTTGGCAATTAGGTCTCCCAATGTGGAGAGAGTCCCAAGAACATGTAAAGAAAATACATCAGGGAATGGTTTCTAAGAAATTAAGTGATTACTCGGATGGTGTTAGCCTGTCAAACATTTTTTATCCAACATTAGTTTTGCAACATAAAAGTTTAGGAAATGTGATGGTTTGTCAACAAAGGGTGGGCCACGATTAGGTCTATGACCCATGGACCATAGAAATATGAAATGTGGCAAGGCATGTCTATGACATAAACCAAATAAACTGTGAACATAGGGTGTTGCTCCCTCTGTTCACAAATATAAGATGTTCTAACTTTTAGTGTGTTTATTCACTCATTTTAGTCTGTATGTAGTCCATATTGAAATATCCAAAACATCTTATATTTGTGAACTTAAATAGTAATTAATAAAATAGTGGGTATAATTATATTTATTATCCTCTTTCTACTTTCTTCAAAAATGATAGGATCTTATACTATGTTTCCTAGTTGCAGCCCATCCTGAAGGAGGAAGGGGAAGAGGGGGGATAGGAAGAACACAAACATCTCATGGTTCTCAAGCCCCAAGTGAAGGTGGAAGAGGGATGGGAAGAGCACACGCTTCTCAAGCGTCGTTATCAATTGTCATGGGCGAACATAAACCAAAAGAACGGCATCATGGTTTAGGTTGTATTTCGTTGGGCTTTATTACCAACTTTTGCTTTGAAGAAGCTAGAAGCCAACCAAAGGGATAAATTTTTGAAGCAGTTTTTGGAGAACCCACAGCTTTTATGCAGTGCAAATCTCGCAGCAGGCCAACCCCAACTTCTCAGGCTTCTAAACCAACCGTTTTCAACCGTTCCCTAGAACTTGGATACTATTTGCCCTCCTTTACCACTCCCAAGTGAAAAATGATTCATTATTTTTCTTCCAGTGCGTGTGACGCGAGCAATCGAACAACCCTCCTCCTCCCTAAAAAAGAGAGCTGCCAAGGGCTCCCCCATTCCTTGCTCTCCTGTAAAAAAACACAAGACCAGGAAGCAGTCGTTGTTATCACGAGCTAAGGTTGGATCACCGGGCAGCGCTGCCATTTGGCCGGTCATCCATCGCTGCGCCGCCCTTCGACATACCCTCCCTCGATGCGCTTCCATTTCCCCGTCTGTCCAGCCACCCAAACGCTACCCCTCCATGCACTACATCGAGCCGCTGCCCTCCGTGCACTGCATCGAGCCGCTGCCATCCCCCGTCCACAGCAAGGTACTCCACTCCTCCCCTCTCTCATCCCCCCACCCCCGTCCATACTTCCTATTGATCTCACCTTCTCTGTTCATGTAATGTTTTTTTTCCAGCTTTCAGTGATTGGATGATTATTAGCCATAAATTGGATATTGTGAGTTCACATTCATTAGTACTTTGTTGCATATTGCTACTCTCTAGTGCACTTTCAAGTTTATATGTGAGTGGATTTGTGCTTCATATGTGTATGCGCTGATGCTTATACGGGCAAATGATTGCCTTTTTTGTTTGAAATTATGATTCGATAGCATCCAGTTCTAGTAGTGCTATGCTCATGCAGATTTGACAGTTCTTTTGTTTACATAATGTATAATTGTTACACAAGGGGTGGAGTATTGACCTTTTTTTGCTTGATTGAAGTATGACTGAGAAGGCGGTGTGGGATGATGTCCATCTAAAGAAACTCATTGGAATCTTGAGAGAAGAGGTTGAGAATGGGAGTGCCATCGTTCCAGGACCTGCACATGACACCTTCCCGATTGCAAAAAAGAGTGCTACCGTTCTAGGATCTGAAGGCTTGCTACGGATCAATGCTGATTGTATCCTTTGAAGTCGAGCAGTATAACCTATTTTGTCTCTTTTCCATACAAGGAGTAGTTGTTGACTACAAAAATGCACCACAAGGCACCAGGACCAAGATAATTAAGTAGATAACTGGCAGTATTCATGGCCGGGTAGCTATACATGTATATTGGTCGAGACAGCTATCCAAAGATTAACAGCGTGATTTACTTGAGGATTTTTCTCGCTATCATTTTTTCCTTTGCCGCTGGGGAGAGAAGGCACAAAGAAGAGACCAAGCATACACGTGTGCAGTTTTGAAGTGTTGTTTGATTTATCTTTTTTTAGGGAAAAAAAAAGAACAACGGAGTGTTGTTTGATTTACCTTTTTTTAGGAGGAAAAAAAGAACAATGGAGTAGTGTTTCATTTACCTTCGCCATTGCAACCTTACTTTATACTAGTGCTTAAACTTGGGACAAGGCCCGTGCCATGCCAGTCAGGTCTGAACCCATTGTGCTTCGGACCCCGACAAACCGGACTAGACTGACCCAGTTTACATGCCAAGGGATTGCCCAAGCATGGCCTAATGGCCCATGCGGCCTTTGGCCCGGGCCATCGCAGACATGGCCCAGTACAATAAATATTACACTTCATCATTTTAAATCAAAAAATTTAACTACATTATGCATTTTCTATTTTGAGCAACTAATTAAAGCACCTTATGAAGTACTGTATATACTACTCCCTCCGTCCAAGAATGTAAGACGTTTTATGACATTGCACTAGTATAAAAAAATGTCTTATATTATAGGACGGAGGGAGTAATAAATATTTATCCGAAAAGCCCTATTTTTTTGTTTACGAAAACATGACTACATTATACAGGTTCCCCTAACAATCACAACACGTGCCGGATGCAACCGGGCCGGCCCGGCCCAAGCACAGCCCGCATCACGTGTCACGACCTGACACGGCGACGCGGGCCGGCCGGGTTTCATGCCGGCCCGGAAAAAGCTGGCCAGCGTCCACTCTGTCCAGTCCACTCGAGCAGTGCGTTGCAACATCAACAGGGGAAATGACAGTGCGAGGCGCGCCGATCATTTTGACCGGGTCAACGCATCGGTTCGACCGTTGACGCGGCCTAGCTGGTGTGGGTTGGGCCGGAACCCACCTCCCAAACCCGGGCCAGCGAGCCGACGGAATGGAAAAAAATGCGAAAATAAAAGGAAAAAAAATAGAGTCACAGGCCCCAGCGGTCAGCGTGCGGCAGCGCCGCGACCGACATCCCCGAATCTAATGCGCGCCGGGATTCGGGCCGCCCCGCACTAATCCACGGCGCACCGACGCGTATATATAGTGCGGCACGATAACAAAACCGATTCGGGCTCTTAACTCCGTGACAGCTCCCATTCCCGTCCCTATCTCGTCGGATCGCCACCCACTCGCCTCGCTCTCCCCCCACCCCACTCCACTCCGAT